TCATCAGATGATAACACAGTAACTGACACAGGAGATGCACGGGAGACAGTCATTAGTGATTGAGGTGCACAAGAGGCTGCAGTTCATTGGGTTGAATTTTCAAAAATGGAAGTTAACAGATCATCATCATCATCATTGTTGCATTCGTCATCAGATGATAACACAGTAACTGACACAGGAGATGCACGGGAGACAGTCATTAGTGATTGAGGTGCACAAGAGGCTGCAGTTCATTGGGTTGAATTTTCAAAAATGGAAGTTAACAGATCATTATCATCATCATTGTTGCATTCGTCATCAGATGATAACACAGTAACTGGCAAAGGAGGAGCACAGGAGGTGGAAGTTGCTGACTGAGGTGCACAGGAGGTGTTAGTTAGTGATGGAGATCCAGAGGGTATGGTGATTGAGGTGGAGAGGAGGCAATAGGTGGTGATTGAGGTCCAGAGGAGGAAGTAGGGATATTGACTTGCACTTGGTAGGTTTTTCGTAGCATATCACCTTTTACATCTACTCTATTCATGTGTTTCCAATGTGTTTGATTTTTTGCTGGAGCCCGATATGGTTTAAGGCTTCCAACATTATTCAATTAATCATTTTGTTGTTTTCTTTTTAGAGATTTTTTTTTCTTTTTAGGGGGACTGTTTCTTAAGACCAGAGTCTTCTTCATTTCCTCTTCCAGTTCTGTTAGTGTAGATATGATATTCCTAAGCATTTCAAGCAGATCTTGCTTCTCCTTTTCAGGAATCAAGGCAATGTCAATGCCACTGCTGGAAATACTTTCGGGCTCCTACACAAATGATACTCTTTTCCTGTTTGGATGGTCCTGAAAAGCCTGCTTTCAATGATTCATTATCAACTGAAATGTTAGGTGCATCACAATATTTTGAAGGAAGAGAATACCAGTCCACAACTTCACAGCAATTGAAAATTGCAAACATCTGTTTACAAGGTAACTTGAGTCTTCTAAAATCAGGACATTCACAATGTGGTTTACCAAGATTGACCTTATACCACTGCTCTCCACTGACAGATTTGACCTTGAAAGACAACTGCTTGATGTTGTTTGGAACAACATTGCCGTCCAACTCCTCAGCATTGGATATCCTGGTTAGAAAGTGCTTAACAAATGATGGTGGTTTTCTGTGAAGAAACTCAGGTATTTGATCTTTATACTTCCTGTTCCACTCATTTTTATGTTCTTGACATGGTACTGCCTATATTGGTCAGGAAGGTAGCTTTGAATTATACTACTCCAGTTTCGAATTCAAAGCGAATAACCGCTGCTTTACTTGACAGCAGATTGTATTACGCAAAGAACTGACAAAAGACAAAAGAAAGCACGAGAAAATGTTGTTAATACAATAGAGCGCTAAGAATCTACATTTTCTCCGAGTTGAGGCTAACCCTGCTCATACTTTAGGTCTTATGGGAATACAGGGATAATCTCAACTCGGGGAAATGCAAATTTTAAAGTCTATTGTAATAACGACATTTTCTCGTGCTCTCTTTTGTGTTTGTAAGTTCTTTTGGCAAGAGAATCAGTTGTCAAATAAAGCAGCGTTTATTCGCTATGAATTCGAAACTGGAGTATTGCAATCATGCTACTCAGAGATTTTCCTGTTGCTCTTGGTAGGTATGTGTGCTTGAAGTTTGAAATTAGATTTGTAGCTGGCAGAACATCTCAGGTTGTTGACTGCTTGATTGAAGTAGATGTCTTCATTGTGAGGAGGACCTTTCTTTGAGCTAGCTATTTGTCTAAGTAAGTACAGCACTTGCTCTTTATCTTTGGCATCAATACCATTGTCTGCCTTCCTGCACCAACGTTCCTATGCCTGCTCACGATGAAAATCACATATGTAGACAAATGTGCCCACATCTTGAAAACCTGTAAAAACAACAACAACAAATATAAACAATCATTGTATTCTGTTACACTTATTATTTGTAAAGCTCTATAAACATGTGGGTTTACTTACAACTTTCAATAGCTTGTATTTCAACTTCAGAAAAATCACACATGAAATATTGAGGTTGCCATGGATGAAGCGGGTTTTCTACACACACAGTCTCATCTACTGAGTAGTAACTATGTGCATCCATGGTAGGAGCGTTAATGTAAAGTGGTAGCTATGTGCATCCATGGTAGGAGTGTTAATGTAAAACCGCTGAATGGTAATGATCTCCTCAAGTGTAGATGGTTTCAGTTTTCTTTCAACCTTTGAAACAAGCTAGTGTATGCATAAGCTCAGACCTTGAGGAATGGACTTCAAAAAGCATTTTTTATATACAATCATTTAAATTATTTAAGATTACACACTTACTTTGCAATCAGACATGCCTGTAGCTTGAGAAGATCTATCATACTGAGGGGATATATTCTCTGGTAGTCATCTTTGCCTGACATCAACACTTTTTACTATCTTGTAAATGAAATATTTTTTGTGGATAAAGGATGTTCATTGATCTTAAAAGAGAACCATAACATTGTTTAAAAATTGGAAACCATTGCCATTTTTATGTTTGGTTCATATGATTTTCAATTTGTAGTAAATGATGATGATGATAATAATAAAATGCAGTATATTGAAAAGCAATATTATGTAAGTAAATGTAAGGGCAGATAACAAAATTCCAATCTTGATAATTGTGTCTTTTTATTCACCTCTTTGGTCTTAGTTTTGTTTGCGTTTCCCATAAATACACTCTTGTATTCTTTGTTCCCCAATGCTGAAAGGGATCCCTGTGTAGGGGATCTTTACTGACACACACTTACTCTCCTACCTTAACATGCCTGTAAGTGTAGATGAATAAATTTTAATATCAATGCAAAATCATTGAGCGATTATAGTATTAAAACCAGAAATACAGACAGTTTAGGCTCAGAAATTTACCTTTAGGTCTGCTCTCTGTCCTGAATACACTAAATCTGATATGGGGAAGCAGCTTCAAAGTCCTTATACCCCATGTATCCAAGTGGTTGGATCTGTTGATGGGTTCCACATTCCCATCCTCAAGCCAAATGATAGTCCTGAGGATTATATCAACAGGAAAAAATTCCATTCAATTATTCTTCAAGCATTGGTAGACAGCAATTATTTGTTTCGAGATATTTATGTTGGTTGGCCTGATAAGGTACATGACTCAAGGGTGTTCAAAAATTCCTCATTGTTTACTTCGTGCTGCAACAGGTCCTTTCTCCCTCAAGGCCTTGCTAAAGTTATCTCAGGACAAGCTGTACCACCATTAATCATAGGAGACTCTGCATATGGTTTGCAAGATTGGTTGATGAGGCCCTTTAAAGATCATGGGCTTCTCACCAGGGAGGAGACAAAATTTAACCATGTCCTCAGTGTAACAAGAATGGTAGTAGAAAATGCTTTTGGAAGGTTGAAGGGAAGGTTCAGGTGCCTTGGCAAGAGGTTGGACCTTTGTCTGGAGAACTGCGTTCTTGTTACAAGTGCTTGTTGCATTCTGCACAACTTTTGTGAGTTGAGAAATGAAGAGTTTGATCCACTGTGGCTGAACGGTGTCAACATTCACAACTTTCACCCAGGAAATGCTGTTTATAGGCAGGACAGGAATGCAGTCGCAATAAGGGATCCAATCAAAAGCTACTTGGCCTAAAGCTTGAAATTTCAAAAGGTTAATAAAGTTTGGGGACAGAGATATGCAATTTAAGTAATGGGAAATTTAAATTGCACCATGAGCCCTTTTAGAAAATCATTTTTAACAAGTAGAGGCTAAGCATTTTTTTTAAGGAAAAAAAGTTATTTGAATTTTGTTTTCTGAGTTAAAGGCATTTGAAATTAGAAAATGCTAATGAAGTGACGTCAACCAAGGAATTGGTATGGACGTTTTTGTTTGTTTATGATATATTGCGTTTGGTTCAAATGGTCAAATCTTCAACAGCAATTATATTCAAGAACAGGAAATGTTGTTTCTGATCTAAAAAAAGAATTATGTCATTATTTGTGATTTTGCATATCAAGTAATTCCTTATTAGACGTCAATTAATTTGCATTTTTTGATTTTCAAATGCTTTTAAATCAGAAGATATAAATTGGAATATATTTTTTTTTCCTTTGCAGAAGTGCTTAGCAGTATGTTATCTTTTGAATGAATTGATTTTCTAAAAGGGTTCATGTTCACTTAAAAAATACCAAATGGGATGATGGTTGGTTTTTCATACTTTAACAACAGCCACTTCTTACATTTAAAAAGACAACTCTCAATCCACAACCTTTATACAATTAATAACTGTATATTGCAAACATGAAAAATTATCGTACTAACATATTTTTTTATTGTTATTTAATATCATCTGCGTAGGATAATTGTTTACCAAAGTAATTGCAATATCAGCATACGAGAAAGAAATGAATATAACTACATGAAGTGCTCATGGTTAGCATGCATGTTTTGTTTCATGGTTATGAAATGGACCTTTTATTGTATTTGTGTACAACGATGTGTAATTTTCTCTTTGTACATCAAACAGGCACGGTAATTATTTGTACATATAATATAAACTACATGAGAAGTGAATTTCATATTTATTTGAGAGCCAAGCAAATTATTTATCACTTTAACATTAAAACACCTGACACATAAAGTTGAAATTATTTTATTTTTAAAAAAAACTTAAAAACATTACCTGTTTTAAGCTTAATACTATTAATGTAATAAATACTTTGCATCATATATTGGCGGAAAAATTATATGCAACATCAAAAGTCATCAATTCTCAAAAGTAGGGCAGACAATTCTCATAGAACAGCCACCAAAATAATTCAAGTTATAAGATGCACTCTTCTTTAACACTGAAGCAAGCTTTAATATCTTGTTCTTCCTTCCTTCGCATTTCTTCCCTTTCCTCTTCTCTTTTCTCTCTCCCCATCTCAGCTTTAAAGAAAGTAGTATCAGCTTCACGTTGGGATTTCATCACACATGTCCAGGACTGGCCTATAGTGTCCCCTGTCCTCATGGGACAGTCCCAAGATCTCCAGTATACCAGTGACTACACCATAGTTTAATAGTGTTTCTCCCATCCCCAAGTCCCCCGGGGACTGTCTAAGGACATCCCCTAAGTGTCCCCTGTCCACTGGACTACACCATAGTTCACTAGTGTCTCTCCCATCCCCAAGTCCCCTCGGGGACTGTCTAGAGACATCCCCCAAGTGTCCCTGTTCCCTGGACTACACCATAGTTCACAACTGTCTCTCCCATACCCGAGTCCCCTCGGGGACTGTCTAGGGACATCCCCCAAGTGTCCCTGTCCCCTGGACTACACCATAGTTCACTAGTGTCTCTCCCATCCCCAAGTCCCCTCGGGGACTGTCTAGAGACATCCCCCAAGTGTCCCTGTTCCCTGGACTACACCATAGTTCACAACTGTCTCTCCCATACCCGAGTCCCCTCGGGGACTGTCTAGGGACATCCCCCAAGTGTCCCTGTCCCCTGGACTACACCATAGTTCACTAGTGTGT